ATGCCCTGGAGGCAAGTTTCCTGCTTACAGATCTCTGGATTTATCCTCGTGGGAGGCAAAGCGGGGAGCTCCTCACTGGGGTCAGAGCAGCCAGGGCTGCCAGGGTCAGGCACTGCAGTCCTGGAGACCTGAGCACTGCCCCTCGGCTGGCTCACACTCCTGGAGCTGACACCACCCACCACCGCTTTGGAGGCAGCAGGAAACCCCTGGACAGGGTTGTTCCCCTGCTGTCAGGGGTGCTCAGCAGCAGTGAGAGGTCCCTGCTGGCCAGGGGTTCCTGAGTAGCACAGATGCCCCACAAGCAGGAGAGGTGACTCAGAGACAGCAAATATCCCTTCTTCTGACAGAGAATGAGGCAAAAAGATAAGAATGGCTAAAATAGAAAGAAATTGCTTCCAAATAAAATGTTTTTCCTCGTTTCCCATGAGAGAGTGAAATTTTTTCATGGGCAGATAGTCAGAGTCGAGTCCATTACACTCCATGCTTTTTGCCTTGAAATATAAATAGCTGCATCTCATATAAGTGTTTGTTATGAGGAAATGTGTGTGCCAGGAAAAGTTAGACATTAAACCATTATTTCATGCAGAAAGATATTGCTAAAGGGAGAGGATTACTTACTATATTAGTTCTGTCCTTCAGCTACCAGTATGTCTCTCTGCACATAATGACTTTAGTCACAAATGTGGTGTTGCAACAATCCCAGTGAGAGCAGAAATTCCTGTTAACGTAGGTAAATCTGGCAGCCTCTCTCCTTCCACAGGGTGTATATGGGCAACTGCTGATACCCAGTATTAGACCTTGCCTTACAACTAAAAATTTCAAAATATCCCTGTTGGTGGCATAAAGTAATAGTGATGTGACCCTCAAATTATTTCTTCTGATTTCCAGTCTTGTACCTGAAGTCAGAAGAGCACCTTAAAAGGCATCGGGAATTTTCTAATCAGATTTGTTTCCCAGCAAATGACTCATAGAGGGAAAGTTTCTGAGGTCAGCAAAACCAAAAAGCCCCAAGCCCAGTGTCGCAGGAAAGCTGGGAGGTGACAGCATCAGTTTGTTTAGATGTTTCTGCCTAGAACAAGTAGGGTGTCACAGGCTGTTGGCACAGGGTGCCAAAGCCACTGTGCTGCAGAGTGTGAGGTGGTGGGCAGCAGTGCAACAACAGGGAGGCAGCACCAAGGGCAGGGTTATTCCTGCTGACAGAGCTGGAACAGGTCACTGTGGTGCTGCAACCTGCCCAGCTGACTAATCCCCACACTGCCATCCTCCTGGGCTCGAGTGTCAGAGACAAACCCCGGTTCCAGGGTACAAAAGGTGATGGTGGAGCTCTTGGCTGACACTCTGGGTCCTGTGTTTGCCGATGCAGGTGCAGAATGCTCCCTGCTGCAGAGGAATGGGAACAGCAGTGAGCAGCAGTTCTGATATCACCATGTGATCAGAACCCATCTGGGGCACAGCAAACCCAAAATGATAGCATTTGGGTTCTCGGAGGAGTAAGAGTGGTCAGTAGAACTTCCTCCTTGGACAGCTGAGGGCAGACTGCCCTGTTGAGGAGCCTGGATGACAGAGTTCCTTGGGAGGCAGTCCTGAAGGGCAGAGGATGCCTTCAGGGATCTACAAGCCTGTCAGTCCAACCTTGGTGTCAGGGAGGCTTGTGGAACAGATCCTCCTGAGTGTCAACACACAGTATGTAAAGACAACCAGGGGATCAGGCCTAGTTTAGACTGGATATTAGGAAATAATTTCACCATGGAAAAGGGTGTCCAGCCTGGCATGGGCTGCTCAGTGCAGTGATGAAGTCACCATCCCTGGAAGCATTTAGAAGCCATGTAGATGTGGCAGCTGTGGCCATGGCAGTGCTGGGGGAGCAGCTGGACTCAGTGGTCTTAGAGGGCTGTTCCAACCTAAACCATTCAAAGATTCTATGATGCTGTGTAGTAAGTTATCCTTATTCAAAGGGCTCTGTTTGAAACCTGGCATTGGCATATACAGAACATGTTGCATCTTTGCTGGTACCTCTTCAATCTGGCTTGCAAGACATCCTGGAGGACATGACCTTGGAGGCAGGCAGAATATCAAACCTGCATAATCTGAGCGTCTCCGCATTGGTGGCAGCCTGTTGGGTACAGGGCAGTTAATAAATAATGAGGATGTCAAAGATGACAGCAGGAGAAGTGTGAGCAGGTAGCAACTTTGCAGCCAGCTCTCTGACAGCCGCCTGGCAACCTCCAATTAGGAGGTGTGTGCTGGTATTCATCGCAGTGCAGAGCAGCCAGCGCCCGCTCCTGGGAGCCAGGATGCAGCACTGGGGCAGCCTTGGGCACTGCACTGGCTGAACACGCTCCCAGGGGCACTGGAAACTGGTGAACACTCTGAAGAGCAATGGGGTGTTCAGGGGGCAAGTCCTGGGAGGCAGCAGGAGGCTCCCAGCGACAGCGCTGGAGAGACACGGGGCAGCAGCTGCCACAAGAGCTGCGCTCACTGCCCTGTGACAGGCTGGGCCAAGAGGGGGTAGAACCCTGCTCGGAGCAGAGACTGAGGCATTGCAAGAGAGAGCTGGAGCAGCTGAATATGGGATTCATTTCTCGGGGCTTGGGGGAGAGGAGTACATTGGCCTCGGTGCCATGTCGAGGCACAGGAGCTGTTGGGGCACCTCCTCAGGACACCAGTCCCTGCTCACAGCTGTATCCTTCAAGGGCTGAATTACACCACACCACAACTCAAAGATTAGGAACCTGAGGTGTAATTGATCTTCTGATGGCTTTTTAAACATCTGGTGAGAAGGGGTTGCTTTCCAAACAGCAAAATCTACACCAAAATTATCTTGATTTGAATAAGTATTCCATCCCTGTTTGGTAAATATACCCAGTGTTAATGGTGCTTAATGGTGCCTGTAATTGGTGCCTAAAGTTATTTAAAAGTAAATTTACCAGAAAATAATTAGCAATTTTATAGTTCACTACTTCCTAATCTTGTTGATAAAAGTTTTTCTGTGGTTTTCATCAGATGACACAATAGGGCTGTGCTACAAAATAACCTTTTTCAAATGAGCAGGAAATTGTGCACACAAAATACGATTAAAAAAATTTCCTCCTAATTTCTTTGCCTGGCAGCCAGCCCTCTCTCTCCTTTTATTATCCACTGATTTATCCTTAATCAGCAACTGAAACTTCCCAGGCATTGCTTGGGGATTTGCTCTGTGACTTTAGGAGGTGCACCCCAAGCTGTGAGGTCAGTGAGGAAAGCTGTCCCCCACTGCAGGGACAAACCTCACCCAGGACATACAGGCTGGTCCTGCTCCTCCTCCTGGCCCTGGCTGCAGGGTGGCCCTTTTGGCAGTGCTGGGGCTGTGGCTCACGAGGCAGGAAGGGGCAGCCAGCTGGGCTGGCAGGAGGCAGATCACGGCCAGCGCTGCCCTGTCGTGGCTCCCACTCATGGCGTGTTGGTGCTGCTGGGGGGGGCAAGAGAAACAGAATCGAGAAATGCAGCTGCTACAACGATTTATTGTTTAGTGCTGTGGGTTCCAGGGTTCAGTTCCAGACGGTCATGTCATTCAGGTACAGAGACAACGACCGACAGAGACGCATTTGGGAAAAGGCGACAGCACAGCAGGTTGGGTTCAGAACAGATCAACTCTCCATTTTCAGTCTCTGAACCAGAAAGTACCAGCTTTTCCAGAACAATGAATCACCCAGTCTGTATATAAAATTAAATATAATTTATGCTTTGCTAATTGAAACCAAATACAAAATTCAATTTCCTGTGTATTCTAATGCTGACATTTGAATAGTTTAAAAAAAAGTGTTACTAACCTGACTCTGGTTTGGCACACCACTCTCCAGCCATGTAGAAAATAATTCCCCCTCCAGCCTTGGTGCCAGCATGGCAGCCACGGGGTGCATTTCAGAACAGAACAGAATAACGTCCCCCAGTCTCTGTGCCTCCAGCCTGCCCCAGAGTACGTGGTGTGTACCTTGGGAAAGGGCTGGGGGCGAGGGCGTCCTACTCCACCACGCTGAAGTGGTTGGTGTCCATGGGGCAGCCGCTCAGGGCAGGGGAGCGGGGTCTCCTCTCCCACTGGGCACCCATCAACTCCTGCCAAGCTGGAGATGACATCTGGTATAAAAAATAAAACCTCTGAATATATGGCAGAAATAATGGGAGTGGATGTGGGGTGGCAGGCAGCAGAGGTGCAGTGGGCACAGCATCTCCCTGACCCACCCAAGAACCATCATCCCCCTGAGCTGAGCCCCTCTGACGGGCAGCCAGGACCACCGGTCCACCACCTCCACTGGCCACCAGGGCCAGCCCAACACTGTGCCAGGACTGCAGCATGCTGGACACAGGCAGAGATTCTTGGATATCCCTCTGGTGACGGGAACATTGGGCCTGGAGCCCCTCATCTTCCAATTAAGTATTTTGCACCAAATCCAAATTATGCAACAACAGGTTTTAGTTCAGGACCTGTTCTGACGTTTTAATAATATGTGAAGCACTGTAAAATTATTCCTATTACATACTTCCAATTTTCCTGTAATAATTTGGAAGTTAGTGGGTTTGTGAAAACTTTGCTATGTCAGGAGCTGTTTTTAAATCTGACCAGGATGATGGGAACTGACGTGACATCAGCAGGGACCTTGCAGTGCCCCCCCAGCATGGCCCATGCGGTAAATTGTCCAAATGGCTTCAGCTTTTATCATCCAATACAAGGCACCAGCACCACTTCACGGTGTAATGAACCACATGACAAGCCCTGGAACCCCAAGTAGGTTCAGCTTGTCACCCAGTGCAACGCTGATTTCATCTGGTTAGCTGGAGCCTTAGGGAGTTCTACCTTAATCGGAGCTGATTCCTGGTCCTCCCGCAGCAATCCCGCTCTGCATGCTGTCCAACAGCATGGGACTTGCACGTCGTTACATCCCGCCCTGGAGGCATCTGCAGCCCTCGTCAGAGCAACAGAGCAGCCAGCAGCATCCCAGTGCGCTCAGAAATCACCATGTGAGGTACCATTTCAGCAGCTCTGTGTTTCTTCCCCATTGTTCTCTCTCTGCCTGTTGTCTCTCGGCATTTCCCTCAGCGATGGAGGTGGAACTGTGTAGCTGTGTCGAAGCACTGCTCCTGCTCTCTGCTGGGCCCAGCAAGCAGCTCTCACGGCGGTGGAGGATCCAGTTGGGCTGTAGGTTTAATCTACAATTTCTACCAGGATTTGCAAATTTGGCTGACTTGGCCGTTTCCATCAGAAAGCACAGATTTTGTGTGCTGAGCAGTGCTTGCCCTGGGAATTAATTGCTGTTCTGTGATTCTGAAGTATGATGAAGGCTGCTTCCCTGTTCTGCAACCCCAGCCATCCACAGCAAACAGCAGGGATTGCATTTTCAAGGTGCAAATGAACGGCAGTGCCAGGGGTCCCAGTGGTCAGACCCTGTGCTGGGGCTGTCCTCAGACCTCTGCCCTGCAGCCACCCCCTCAGTCCCCACTGGAAATGCCTGGTTCCAAACCACGGAGCAGGGCGTGGCACGGCCTCGCCAGGAGGTGCTGCACAGACGATGTGTGGCTTCACACTGTGCCTTGGCTGGGCAGGGAGAGCCTGACTTGCTCCTGCAGAACCTGGGAATGTTCTTTCAGCTTCCAGGAGGGTGAGAGTCTGGAGGGGATCCCAGTTCTGACCTCACTGAGCATCCCAGCAAAGCAGGAACAACTCTCTTCCAACAGTGGAGATGTATCAGTCGGAGGAGAATTGGGCCCAGGTGTTTGTGGCACTTGATAAATTCTAGTTTTAGTGCAACAAGTAATTGAAACATCTGGTGCAAATGAAGTTCCTGTACATAGTTCCATTGCAGCATAACTGGCTTTATTCCTTCCACACACTAAGACCAGTGTGCATATGAGTGCACACGGCCTGAATTTACCAGACCTGATGCTGCTGTTTGGGAAAAACTAAAATCCAGGGCAGGAGAAATCAAATATATGGACTTATCCCAGTGCTGGGTTTTGGGAGCCGCCCTCCCACCCAGCTCACAGGGGCAGGAAGTCTGGTCCTGCCTGCCTGGCTGCGAGGGGGACACCAGCAGCAAAATGTCAACACAAAGTACCCCATCACCCCAAGGAGCCCTGCTCCCTCTGCCTCCTCCTCCCACCTGCCCCTGACCCCCAGGGTTGTGGTGGGGAAAGCCCGAGAGCTGCCCGAGGTGACAGCCACTACAGTTTCAGAACCAGACACACGGAGCAACTCGGGCTGCAGCCAAGAGCTGGGTACGCACAGGGCTGAGCCTCTGGCCCCGAGTGAGTTTTGGGTCTCAAATGATGACTCGCATCTCAAAAAAAGAAAAAAAAGGTTTTTTCCTGATCTTGTGTTTCTACTTATCACTTTCTTCCTGCTCCCACTGGAAATCTTGGCCCGTCATTTGGTAAAACATGACATTGAAAGGTTTGTAAAATTTCCGCAGTCTGTGGATGACGTCTGGGTCTATTTTGGGGTGAGTTCGACCCTTGGACTTGCCCAAGCACCGGGGAGCACTGCTGTCCTCTGGCTTCTTTAGACAGGGAAACCCCTTGGTTTTATTAAAATAAAAATGCTTCTCTGTCACAATCCTCTTGAGGCCTAGGAAGTCCTGGACCTTGGCCATTTCCCCTGCCGGGTCAGTGATGAGCCTCTCGCCACTGACAAACAGGATCTGGGAGAGGGGGAAGTACTGGAGCCAGTTCTCCAAGTGCAGGGCATAAATCCCAATGCGGATTGCACTCCAAGAGGCATCAATCAGCCCCAGAGTCCTGTTCTTGAAGGCCAGCACCTCGAAGGTGGGGATCTCCGGCTTCTTGGAGAGTGTCTGCGTGTAGTCCGAGATGGCCCTGGTGACCGGGTTCCGCACCACCACGATCAGCTTCGTGTCCTTGGCCATGGAGTGAATGCGCCTGGGGGCCTCATTGGTCACGAAGTAGCTGGGGGTCTTCTCCATGGTGATCTGGCCATCCAGCGTCTTGGGCATCACGTTCCTGTGCAGAAGCAGAGGAGGGGGTTAATGAGGAGCCGGGCAGGGGTGGGCATCCCAGTGTCCCTCCTGCCCTGTGCAAGTGTTGGCAGGATGTTCAGGAGGAGGAATGCTGCCACTCCCACAGGTCCCACGGACCCAAACGCTTCTGGCTTTGTTTCTTCTCAGCCCCTGGCCATGGTGGGCACCTAAAATGTTAAGTCAGCCTTAGTGACACATTATACAGGCAATTTGCCATAGGCATATGTAGACCAAAGCTAATTGACACTAAACCTGCACAATACCTGCCTGTTCAGAAGCCATCTGCTCCCATTTGCTCAATTAAGCCTATTCATTCCAGAGCCGTTGTACAGAGCAGCGCAGTTCGGATTACACAGGACCTTTTTGTTATGATGACATGCTTTTAAATGTCTCAGCTAATAAAACTTAATATAGAATAAGATCCCTTGCTTCTAGTACAATAATTAAATTTATTTACTATCTTGTGTGTGAGAAAGAATGACTTTTCTTTTATCTCTAATTCACATGCTCTGTCAATAATTAATTGCTGCTGGGTTTTGAGCTTCCCATGCAAGCACTTTTATTAGCCAAAAGGAATTTGCCTACTGGATAAATTAGCATGTAGCAAGATTTTCCTGGATAGCATATTACCATATCATGAAATGAAACTGCAGTGAAATAGCAGTTATGTCTAAGAAAACGAAGAGGTAAATGCTTGCCCCAGTGCCCCCAGTTAAGGATTAGAGTAGTGAGCCAGAGGGTACTCAGTGATGTCCCTTGCAAGAGCGCCACTGCCTTGTTCACACCTCCCGTGCCGCCCAGGGCTGGAGGCTGTGCCACCAGCCAGGCCCCTGCTCACTGCCCGTGCCCACCCGTGCCGTGGCCCCAGCCGGGGGCAGCCCCAGCCCTGCCACGGTGCCAAGGAGTCACTGCTCGCAGCACCAGGCAGGTCTCCCAGGGCACCTGCAGGATTGCCATGCCCAGGATCTTGCAGGATTATCCCTTCGTAGCGCAGCTATTTTTTAGTACAAACATATGGTGAGGAAACAATGTGAATAGGCTGGAAATGGCTCTGTGAGAGCACCTGGGGCAGCAGCACCCGCAGTAATGCTGACGTCAAACTGCCGGGTGTCAGGAAGACCCATTTCAGGAATCACATGGCTGAAGCCTGGAGCAGAAGCAGTTGACAGGCACAGCCCAGCTACACGTGCCTGTCAGTGTAACCTCGTATTTGTGGCTGCTAAAGGCACTAACCTCCCCTGTAATTTGTGCATCCACTGCTGGTCGTGCCATGCTTGTTCTGCTGAGGGGCTGCTTGGGGCAGATGAAGGGCTGCCACAGGGCTCCCAGTGCCCTCAGTGTTTTGGCTGAAGAGGCCAGTAGTTCCTGTGGCTGCCCCTCTCCTGCTGCAGAACCTTTCCAGAACAGTCTCTGTCTGAGTCCCAGCAATGGGGTCTGCAGGGACACAGGGCTGCAGGGTTCCAACTCCCTGTCTCAGAGCCAGCGTGCTGGTGGCCAAGCTCTCCAGGAAGCTGCAGCATCAGACCCCACTGGAGCTGCCTTCCTGATGGCAAGGTGCCTGCAGTCCTATCCTCTGCCCAGAGCACTCTTGTGCTTCATCCCCGCCTCACATCAGCCACTTAAGTAGCAGTGACATGCAGGGAACAAGGATTAGTCAGAACAATACATCTTGAGGTATTTTTTCCTTTAAGAAAAGCCTGAACAAATTAAGAGGGATGTGAGCATTTGCAGAATTACACACCAGCTTCTGTGGGGGGATCCAGCAACTGGATTTAACAGCCCTGTGGGAAGGAAGCAGCTTTTATGGCTATGCACATCATAGCAAGCCCCACGATACAATCAGAGATGAGCCCTCAAGTGCCCACAGGGTGTCCTTGGCCAAGCACGAGGTGGTGGAAGGGACTGGTGTGACGAAAGTGAATAGAAAATGAGGCCAGGAGGCTGAGCACGTGGGCAGCAGTGCTTGCCCAGAGGACAACAGGAGCAGAGGTGCTCCCTGCTGCTCACCACAAGCCTCTGACAGATGGGGTAGAAATTAGGTCTCATTCTTGGGACACAGCAGTGACAGGAGGGAGGAGAAATGGGGGCTGAGTAGGAGGAGGCCTGTTGGCTGCCAGGGCTGCCACCAGCAGCATCGCTCCGTGCCCATTCTTGTATCCCAGGCCATTGGCCGGCAGTGGAGGATGGGGAGTGACTCACCTCCAGAAAGGACAAGGACCATGATCCCAGGGTGTTTGTTCATGATCAGGGGGTGTCTGTTCCCCACAGCAGCAGGGTGTTCGCTTTGGTTTGTATAAAAAACACACTGGGGGTTTATAAAAGAGGCACGAACAAACTATTAATTACAATGGCCCCTTCAGATGAGGCCTTCACAATAAACATGAGCCAAGAAATTGCGGAGTTAATAATCTGGAAGTGTTGCCACATTTAAAGACCACGTTTAACTCCATGCACAATACAGACAAACGGATGGATGGGCTGGTGCTGAAGAGAGAGCAGGGAAGCAGAGATCAAGGAAAAGAGAAGGGGAAGCAGAATCAGCTTTTGCTGTGCAGTTTTAAGGATAAAGCTGGGAGCCACAGTGTGTCCTCGAGACACCTTGGCCCTGCAGAGCCTGGAACAACTCCGGCTCTGGGATGTACACACAGAAAGGCTTTTCCCCAAACTCTGCCACGTTTCAGAGTCCCTTCCCAGGTGCTGCCCTGTTGGGGCAGGTGCAGGGGCAGGGGGGGCTCGGGCCCGCAGCCTCGGAGCCAGGGGCCCTGCACGCAGCCTGTGGCACTCCAAATCTGCTGCCAAACACAGAGTGGCACACGGCACCGCCGGTTCCTGCTGCTGGGAATAACAAGGGTGTTAAAGCTGGAGCAGCCCAGCCACCGGCACGGCAGGAATGCTCCTCAGAGCAGTTAACCTTCAGAGAGCTGCTGCCATGTGCTCTGCCCTAATTGCATGTGTGCTGATGGAATGCTAACCAGCTCCGTGTGCCCGGGCAGAGCGATGCTGCATCGCTCTCCTGCGGTGGCTGCTGCAGAGTAGTTTTGCAGCATGAGGCTGTGCCTTTGCTCCTGGAGGGGACACATAGCCTTTGGCACGCACTTTGGCTTTCCCTGCAGCGTTTCTGTCCCTTCTGAGGCCAGGCTGGTTGGTGAAGAGGCACAGCCATGCTGTGACCACACCCTACATGCCTCCACAGAGCAACCCAGAAAGTGAAGCGGTGGAATGGGACACGTCTGCTCATAGCCCTGTCACTGGTGTCTCCCCACCTGCCCCTCCTGTCTCTATTGCTGCCCACCCAAGAAAGGGGAGAAATAACAACAAGCCCCTGGCAGGAGCTCCACTGCCATGGACAAGCCATGGTTTTTAAGATGAGATTGGACGTGGCACTTAGTGCCATGGGCTAGTAACCACGGGGGTAGTGGACTAGATGATCCCCGAGGTCTTTTCCAACCTGGCTGATTCTATGATTCTGTGAAGCCCTCTGCTCCCTTTTGGGACAGGTGTCCCTTGTGCTTGTTGGTGCAGCACTGCTGAGCTGTGCAATGCCAAAATGAAACTCTCATATGGAATTTGGACCCAGGAATTACCTGGTCCTCCAAGCAGATGATCCAGTATGTATTATTGGGTGCTCGCTTGGGCTTTTGATGTTCCTCTCCTCTCCTGTTCGTTCCCCAGTGCCCAGAAGCTGAGGAGGGCCAGGCTGCACGGGAACTTGCTGCCACCACTCCTTCATGCTCCTGCTCTGTGCATGGAAGAGCCCCAGCCCCCGTGGGCAGCAGGCAGCACCGCTGGCTGCCACGTGCCTTAGCTTGGGGCAGAGGCCAGCTCTAAGCTCTCATTGGGAAAATGTGCTGTAGTAATTGTTCTTAACTGCTGGCTTCAGACGAGCTCTTTATTTTCAAAGGATACATTTTATAAATTTGTGAATTTGCATGTTGCCAAAATCCCCTTGTGGTTTATTTAAAACCAGATTATCTTGTTTATTCCTTCAGTCACAGCTGTCATTTATCTCTGTGTAGGCAGCTTGTTCACGACGTTGCAGGTTTCCTGCAATCGCACTCAAAAGGAGTCTTTGTTAACTGTATTTCATGTTTTCAACAAGAGAAAAAAAGTTTATAGCAACTCCTAGGGCTTGGGAAACCACAGAGGAGGACATGGATTTGCATGACTGCCATGGAAAGAGGTGATGGCCAGTTACTGCAAGTGTCACCTGCCCACAGAGCTCCTTTCTGCTGCTCCTCATGGTGGAATAAACATCTGCTTTTGTTTTCTGAAAAGACAAACATGAAGTCCTTTTCCTTTTTATTATTAACACATTCTGGTATAATTGCTTGAGCTGTCAGCTGTGACCTGCCAATAATTCAGCAGGCGTGGGACTTTCAAGGGGAGAGCGGCATTGCAACTGAGCCCGAAGTATGCATTAAAAGCAGAACCCATTTGCTGTAAGCCCCCGAGTCAAATCTCTTGTTGAATTTGTTCAAACATAAATTTACAGCTGAATTTACATAGGTTTAATGTTTTATAATCTTTTCGGTCTGTGAATCTATATTCAAGAGTGAGTGCATTAGCTCAGAAATATTGTGCTTAACGCTGAAAATAATTTTAATCTCTCCAAAGTCCAATCCTTTGCACATCACTAAACCTCAGAAGCCAATCCCTTCTAATAACAGACACAAAACTTGCATCTGTCGCTGCCTAATAGATTCACTCTGCTCTAATTCAAATGGCTCGCACATGTCTGTTAAAAACCATTAACCACAAATTGTAAAGCACTTTCAGAAAAGCGGGTGCCAGTTCAGAATGGGGCCAAAGAAACACAAATTGGCCACGGGAGACTCACTGGAAGAGTTTAATGGTTAGGAATCTGGTGGTTGGGAAAAGGAGTGATCCACCCTTCTCTGTGACTTGAGATCTGCTTTTTCAGGACTTAACATCCTCAAGCAGTGGCTGCCTATACCACTGGTTTCCCCTTGTCTCCAAGACAAGGAGCTTTCCCCCTTCCCAGAGCTTCCCACGTAGAACACTCTCACGAGGGGCAGTTTGAGACTGCAAGGACACTTCCTTGCTCCATGCCAGCCCCATTCCTGCTGAGCTTCTCCCCAGTGTCCCCAAGGCTGTGCAGGATGTGGGAACCCAGGACCCCACAGCCAGAGTGGGGGAAGCCACAGATCCCACTGCAGCCAGGCAATAAGAAGCAGTCAGGGCTTGGGAGTGTCTCAGTGCCCCTGAACAGGACCAGTCATGCCCTCATTGCTGCCGGGGGCTGCCTGGAGCCCTCTATCCATCCACAGCATCAGCTGGGACGGAGCATGGTCCTGGGTTGCCATACCAACGCAGGTGCTAACGGGTGTTGACTAACTGTGAGCTGATCAGATGAGAGAATGGCAGCACTGAGTTGCCATGGCAACTGAGATGCCAAATTGGAAATGGTGCCGGTTGCAAAGGTACCCGAGAGGTGGCAAGTGTGCGCAGCGGGCAGCGCCTGGCCGGAGGCTGCAAGCACCCCAGTGGGCATCTACCTGCCCAGGCCACCCACAGCCCCTCCTCTGGGGGTGGTGGGATGGTTCAGGGCACCGCAGCAGCTCAGCTGTGTCCCATGTGCCAGCCCCAGGTCCTCCATTTCACGGGGCACAGCTCCCCTGCTTCCTCCTCCTCCTTCTCCTCTGCTGTCCTGGCCAGGAGTCAGTGCTGCTCAATGCAGCAATCCCCAAAGGATTCGGTTCCCCAGCCCAGGAGTGCAGGGGACGTGCCTGGAGGGATGATGCCACCCACAAGCACCACTGAAGCCACCATCCCAGACACCGAGGAAAAATGCCTTTGGAGCACAGTCTATTTCTAATGTGATTTTTCATCATCTCACCCAGTCTGCAGTCCAAAAATCACAATGAAAGGGCTTCTGTGTCTCCACAAAATGCAAAATCTTTAACGGCTCATTGGCATGTGCTTAAGTTGGCCTGGATAAGAAGTTACTCCTGAGAACCTGCTATTGATTCTGTCAGGGATTCAAAGGTTTTATAGGCATCGCTCAGGATCTCTTTAGTACTTGTACCTTCTTAATGGCTCTCATCACCGCTAGAACTGGAAACATCCCCCAGCGCCCTGGGAAGCAGCTGACTCCATGCCAGGAGTTCATGCTGTGCTGCTGCCTAGGAATGTGTCTGCCTTCCAGGTCAGCCAGGTGAGCCTCCTGGGCACCCTGGGGGCACCTGGCTCCTCCAGGGTCTTTTAGGAGGTGGGGCAGACACTGGGGCTGAGGAAAGGGGTGGGCAAACTGCACCCGGGAAGGCTCCTCTCCTCCTACCACTATGCAACAAAATCAGTGGGCAGGTGGCTGAGTAGCAGACAAAAATATAAATATGCTCTGATTTCACTGGGACCATCTGGCTCAGGCATGATAGGCGGGTAGGGATGCTATAATCATGGAGCACAGAACTAAGCTGATCCATTAAAGTCTTTTAGCAGAAGCAACTATGGAACCTGTATTAATCCAGCAATGCTTTGTGAACAGGCATCACAAGGTTAGATCCCTTCAGCTGCAATTAAAACCAACCCTCACTGATCAGGCTGGTTGGGAGAGCTGTTGTGTTCCCCAAGGTTCTCATGAGTATAGACTGTTGATGCTCACACAATGCAATCTGAAATTATGATCTAAACGCTAAATCTTGCTTTCTTCTATTCTTTCCCCAAGCAGATCTCCTCTGGGACGTGGCTGTTGCCTCGTGCCAAAATCCCCTGACTATCTGACTGCACGGCTCTCACACAAATTGGACAGGCTCAGGTTAGTGCTGTGAGGTTCCACTGCCTTCCTGATGAGGAATGCCCCTTCCCCTGCCCTCCTCATCAGCAGCTGTGGGATGCACGGGGGCATCTTGGCTTCTGCACTTGAAGAGCTCCTGGCATGGCTGGGAAGCACTCAGTGTATCTGTGCCAGCACACACGGCCTTGGGTGTCATAAACAGCCCTCAGCACCACTCAGCTTTGCCTGTGCAAAGCAACCTTGGCTCTGTGGATGGTGTGCTCAGTGTGACATTGTTTGACCAGGGATAAATTTGGCCCCATCTCTCCAGTTTTAGTGCAGGATTTATTGGTGGTCAGTATTCAGACATGAAATGGGTTGTGAAAAAGGCAGAAAATGCCTATTTCTAACCCCTGTGCCGTCAAAATTGTTTTGACTAAGCCTCACTACTGTTCTCTGCAGAAGCACTGCAATCCTATTCAGTGGGAATCTCTTAGTGTCATCTACCAGATTTAATTACTACATTTGTCACAGTTAGAGCAAAGCAGCCCTAGTCTGAGCTTCTCACACAGTGCTGGAATGAGGACTCCTGGGCAGGCAGTGATGAGTCCTGCCTCCTCTCACTGAGGATGTTCAAGTCAAGGTAGTCTGCTCCCAGTCCAGCTTTCCCTTCCACACAGGGGTTCAATCCCTTCACTGACAGCTCACTCACCTTCTACTGTTTTTTGCCTTCCCTGTGCCAGTCCCCAGGCCCCTGCAGCTACAATGGGCATGAGTTACATGAAATGCCCACGCACATGCAACCTCTGCTTGCAGGACAGAAATCCTCTCTGAAACACGCAATCCAGTACACCTTGTTGGCAGCAGTCATTGCAGACCTTCCCCTCTCCCTCCCTTGGGATTTCGGATCTGAAAACTCTGCCAACACACAGCAAGATGAGCCCCTCATCGCCAGCTGTGCCCTCCTGCCCCAAGCACAGTGGCAGGAACGCCCGTGGGACAGCCGTGCAGGAGTGCTCCATCCAGCTTGGCCTCGCCCGTTGCTAAGTGATGCTGTGGTTCCTGGAACAGTCAGATGGATTTGGGAAAGCTACAGGTGAGCAGGAGAGCTGTGTGCTCAGCGTGTAGCTGATGTTAAACACTGATCAGGCTCATCTGGGCATTTCATACCACTCCAGTTTCCCAAAGATGGGCCCTTCCTGCGAGAGAAGGCCATGAAAATAGAATATTAAAATGTAGTGGTTCGGAGCTGCACATCATCAGGAGTCCTTTTTCATCTCCTGGAAAATTTACTTCTACCAGGAAAAACACCCTTACAATAATGGTTGCCTAAGTGAAAGCACTGTGGCTGTATCATGCTAAAAGCTTCTCAGGGAAAACAGTAAATAAATTCCACTCTTCAGATGTATCTGGATGTTATTCTAACACAGTGCCAGAGTAATAGGTGAGCCATCAACAGCTAAAAGGCGGAGAATTGTTATGGAGGAGTGATACTGCCGAGCAGGCTGAAAACACAGCCCATGCAGAGTTCCAGAGCTGCTGGCAGACGGGCTTCTACCCCACTGGCATGCAAAGGCTGGACACAAAACCATCAAGGCTATCACAGGAGCCCCTGGCTGGTCAGAGGTGGTGTCCAGAAGCATGACCCTCTGCAGCTTCCCACCTGCAGTTACATGTTTTTTTCTGGTTATAAACAAGGCTGGTCCATGCAGGCCACCAGTGCTGCAGGCTGAGCAGGTGAAGGGGCAGGTGGTGAGGTGACAGGCTCTCAGGGGACAGCAGATGCTGGAGGTAGCACAGCCAGTCCCAAATCCCTCCACATCATAGACACTGGGTGGCGAGATCTTCCCAACTGCATTAACCTCTCAACTGTCCAAAGCACAATACCCCACTGTTAACCCACAGCTGGCCAGAGTTTGCATCGAGCCCCTGGAGCCCAGCAGACACCCTGAGCAGAGCCCTGGTGCTCCCCTTGCCATTCCAGGCAGCAATGCACACCCCCTGCCATGCTGGCCCCCTCTCCGCCTCCTCCCCGTGCACGTGGGAACCACCTCAGTTCCAGCATCAGACAACTTCTGTGGTGACCAAGGCACATCCCACAGGGACCACAAGGACCACACAGATCCAAGACTCCTCCATTCCCTTCCTGGAGCTGCTCCTCTGCCCCTGGAGGGAGCAATGCCAGCCAAGCAGCTGCAGAGGGCACAGCTATTAATTATTTGCTTCTGTCAATTATTTTGGGGTTTAAGTTCATTTATTATGTATGCAAAAATGGTAATACATTGGCATCTGAATGTCTTTTAGGCATACAATATCCTTATTATTCAAAGTGTTTTTTCCTCCATAATTGAATGGTTTACCTTATTATCACACTATGTTAATGACCCAGCATTTCCATTTTTCTATAGGATGCTTAATTGTAAGCAAAGTGCAATCAGAATCAGAGATGCCATCTCTAATTGACAGCATCATAATAACAGCTAGCATTGCAGGAACAAAGTACCAAGATAAATGGCAGCAGGGAGAAAGTCACTCTGAAAGCCCCCAGGAAGCTGCTCTGGGCTGGGACGGAGCCCTTCCACATGGGATCCTCTCCCCAAGTGCTGACAGTTTGGGCATTAACACAGATGGAGTGCTATTGATATCAGTTTGTACATTTAATCAGGTTTTTTGCAGTTTTCAGCGAGATGTGAACTATATCCCCATCCAAGGCATTTGGTTCAAATCAGCTGAGACAGAGAATAATCAAGATTTATGATTCTCATTCTGACTCCGATCACACAGTCAGTGCAAACGGTACAAGAGAGCTTCCTCCCCGAGCCCCAGTAACATCCCTGTGCTCACATCCCTGCGCTCACATCCCTGCGCTCACCCTCACGCAGTGATTTAGCGTCGATCTCAGGAGCTGTCCCGACACTGCTGCAGCTCCTCATGACGGTGACTCTGGGCTCCCCCGCTACCCCCGAGCACTGGAGGGGCACCGCAACCCAGCTGGTGGTTGGTTGGCAGAAATCAATAAAACAGCACTTTGCAAAATAAAAGGGAATTCATCTTGCTGTGCCTCCCAGCACAGCTTACAGCAGCCTGAAGCGGGAGCAGCCTGTGGTGTGTCTGAGCTCCCTTACCCAGAACATCCTTGCTGGGGAACCACAGCACAGGTTCTCCCAGGTGATTCACACCTGTCCCCACAAGAGCAGGGGCTCAGGAGCAGAGTGAGCACTGGGACTGCAGAGGGGAGGGCTAGGGATGGCTCAGGAGGCAGCTCCCAGCAGCAGTAAGGGCTGTCAGCACATCCTGGAGGCAGTTCCATTTCCAGGGGCTCATCACCAGTCCGGGGAGCCAGAGCTCTCCAAGACCTCAGCTGGGAAGTGAATGTTTGAATAAAAACTAAATGATCCAAGACCGACTCTAATAAAAGCAGCCAGGTGATGGGAACAGAGCAGTGGCAAGGCTGTTTCCAAGCCATTTTGAAGGCAGCCGTGCTGTGTGCTCTCCCTGGCTCCCGGGATGCTCTGGTGGGCTCCTGCCCAGACATCTGCTCCCACCAGTACGAGACAGATGCAAGCCCAGGCCAGGCAGCCCAGCCACAACTGCAGGATGTTCTTGTAGATCCACAGGCCACATCCACACTGCCCGGCAGACCTGGGAAGATCCTTCCAGCAGACCTGGGAAGATCCTTCCAGCAGACCTGGGAAGATCCTTCCAGCAGACCTGGGAAGATCCTTCCCTGGGCAGCACAGCCGCAGCATCTCAGCCCATAAACCCCATCTCGCATATGTGGTTCACTGCAAGAGAGTGCTGTGACGCTGGCATCAGCAGTGGATCCGTTCAGGAATGGGGTGATGGGAGCTCCACCTTGATTGTCAAAGGCAGAGGGCTGGGACAGGGAATGTGGCCTCCTCTTTGCTCCTGCACCGCTCGGAACGAAGCTGGAGACACATGTCAGCCACGGAGGGAAAATAAACTCTGTTATTTATAGTGCTGAAGCGACACTGCCCGTGCAGGGGCCTGGTCATGTTCAATTTTGTCAGGGTTTGCTGAGCCACCTTTTCCCACACACACTGTGTGTGGCACCACTCAGGGTCAGCCAGGGCTCTCCATTAATCCACACATGCAGTGTAACATCCAAGTGAGCGAAAAAACAGCCCAATGCCACTCCAGTCAATAGAGTAAACAATTCATGGTTTGGATAAACAGAATTGCTAGTGCTGAAGAGCCCTGAGCAGCACTGCACACTCTGATTAGTGTAAATGCTAAACACAAACCAATTAACACCCTCTAAGTCTGCTTATCTCATGTCACTTAGTGCTAAAATAAAGCCTAACACTAAATACACACATTGATTTAGCCATTAACTCTAACATCACTCAAAACAGTTCATTATATCACCAAAAGAACAAATAAAGTTACCTGATTTCTCAGAACCTGCTGTATTATGAGCAATGACTCAATTGCTCCACCCAGCACCAGGGAGTCACTGTTGATACTGAGAACACACTGGTACAGCTTTGCCCAAAAATCAAACCTGGGGCCACAGGCAGAGGTGATATCCCTGCATGACCTCAGGCAGCGCTCCTGTGGGAACACCTGGGGCTCACCTGATGCTGTGCCAGCAGCTATAGCACCCAGGTACAAACATCACCACTGTGAAGAACACATTTGCTCAGCTGGTGCCAGCACGAGCCCCGGGCATCCATTAGCCCTGCTAAGGGAGAGGAAAGACTCACCAGACAGTCCCAGCAAACCCTACCAGCTGCTGGTGCCCCTTTCCAAGCATCCAACCAGCACTGACCAAACACACTCCCCTTAATCCCTGAAGAACCAAAACTACTTTGGGTTTGATTTGGGCTTTCTATGACTCTTCATCTAGAAATGACTGGTGTGTAAGAAGCAGATGATGGGAAAAGCCCATCCTGCCCTAATGAGAACCAGGAGCAGTTGGGGAATTATGGGTGGATGTTAGTAGGCAGTGTGGGATGTTTACATTCCTAATTACAAGGGCTAATTCTTCGCCTTGGCCAGGTGTCCCTTCTGCAGACAAGGTTAATGGGATGTGAGAGGCCACAGCTGCCACAGCACCAAGTGAGGAGGACAGGCAAGAGACAGCAGCATTAATCAGCCAGGAGCCATGCAAAAATGGTTATCTCAAGCTGTTTGGAGGCACGGAGTAAAAATAAATCTCCCTGAGTTTAATATTCTGCCAGTCAGCTCCTTTTTGTAGGTGGAATCTATTAAAAAATTATCTTTCTGCTAAAATGCTAAAGTATTTCTGACATTTAACAGCTTGCTTCGAGCAAAAAGGTGCAATAAATACATGGGAGAGCTAATTGGCACCAGAACACCCAACATCCAGCCCAGCATGAGCAAGCATTACTGTGCCAGCTCCTGACAGGCCTGGCAGGCCTTCCACTGAGCACAGTGCCCTGGCTCCCACTGTCCTGCTCCTCTGGGGGAACTGGGAGGTTCCCTCTGTCATCCAGCAGTTGCCAACAGAGCAGTTGGAATAGAGGGTCCAGGGAACACGTGCTGCAATCTTGTCCTACCCAAGTCTCCACTTGGAGGTACTTGGTTGCTGCAAGATGCAGAAGGAACTGCTTGGCAATGTGGTCTCAATAAAAATTAATGCTTTAACAAGAAGCCAAATAGCTACAGCTAATGCTCTTCTGAATGAGATCTAAATTTTATTCATAAGCATCAGTGTCAGGACTAAAATAACAGTTTTATAGACCCTATGAGCATAAACAGCTCCACTGATTCAAAAACAGAAACTGCACTTCTGAATGAATCAACTCATTCATTTGGAACAGAAGCACCATTCTAAATACATGCCTCAAATAAAAGAGGGAGCCAGAGACAGTGTTCTGGTAAGCCTGCTTCCAAGGAATGCACTGTGGAGAGGATGGGAGATGAGGGGACGGTGACTGCGAACACGCTGGGAAGAAGGAGCAAAGATCACTCAGGGACTGCCTGCGACGTGGCTGGAGGTGGGGTGGGATGGTGCTCCCATCTCATTTGCACGTGGAAAAGAATCCCAGATGGGAAAGAAGAGTGCT